CAACATTTTTTCCTTTCAATTTAATTTGTATTTGTACTTTAATGTATTTTGGTGTTATTTGAGTTTTTAACATTATAAAATATTTAAAATAATGATTCTAAGGTCACGTATTTGTTGTGTTTTTTAAATCGCCATTTGTGTTGTTGTTTTTGTTATTGTTTAAAATCTGGAGTCATTTCGTTTCAATTTAAATTACATAGTAAAGTAATTTAACAATTACACATGAATATTTTAGACGCGATTTAATAAGATATATTAAGACGACATTAGTGAGTCAGTTAAAAACATGTTAAACAAGGGAAGGAATCCTTTGTGGGGAAGTCTATTTTTATGAAGAAAATTTATATTTAATGTTTGAAATTAATAAAATAAATGAAAAATATTAATTTGGTAGGAATTTGAGAATTCCCAAATAAATTTTGAAAATTCCCAAAAATGAAATTTAATGGGGAAGTCTATTTTTATGTGTGAATTTAATATTTAACGTTTAAAATGAATCAATTATGTGAAATTTGGCAAGAATTTGAGAATTCCCAAATAAGTTTTAAAAATTTCCAAAAATGCAATTTTGTAGGGAAGTCTATATTTATGCGTAAAATTTATATTTAATGTTTAAAATCAATCTATTAGATGAAAAATTTTAATTTGGAATGCATTTTAGAATTCCCAAATATAGTTTGAAAATTCCCAAAAATGAAATTTTATGGGGAAATCTATTTTTATGTGCAAAATTAATATTTAATGTTTAAAATCAATCTATTAGGCGAAAAATGTTAATTTGGAAGGAATTTGAGAATTCCGAAATAAATTTTGAAAATTCCCAAAAAATAAATTTTGTGGGGAAGTCTATTTTTATCAATAAAATTAGTTTATAACAATTAAAATCAATAAATTTTCGCAAAACCTTATATTTTAAATGAATTTAAAAATTCCCAAATAAGTTTTAAAATTCCCAAAAGTGATTTTTGTGGGGAAGTCTATATTTATGTGAAAAATTAATATTTAACGTTTAAAATCAATCTATTAGGTGAAAGATGTTAATTTGGAATGAATTTAAGAATTCCCAAATATAGTTTGAAAATTCCCAAAAATGAAATTTTATGGGGAAATATATTTTTATGTGCAAAATTAATATTTAATGTTTAAAATCAATCTATTAGGCGAAAAATGTTAGTTTGGAAGGAATTTGAGAATTCCCAAATAAATTTTGAAAATTCCCAAAAAATAAATTTTGTGGGGAAGTCTATTTTTATCAATAAAATTACTTTATAACAATTAAAATCAATAAATTTTAGCAAAGCCTTAAATTTTAACTGAATTTAAGAATTCCCAAATAAGTTTTTAAAATTCCCAAAAAGTGATTTTTGTGGGGAAGTCTATATTTATGTTTAAAATTAATATTTAACGTTTGAAATCAATCTATTATGTAAAAAATGTTAATTTGGAATGAATTTGAGAATTCCCAAACAAATTTTGGAAATTCCCAAAAATTTATTTTTGTGGGGAAGTCTATATTTATGAGTAAAATTAATATTTAACATTTAAAATTAATCTATTAGGTGAAAAATATTAATTTGAAACAAATTTTAGAATTCCCAAATAAATTTTTAAAAATTCCCAAAAAAAATTAATTTTGTGGGGAAGTCTATTTTTATGTATAAAGTTATTATTTAACGTTTAAAATCAAGAAATGAATTGAACAAAATTTAATTCATTTGCTATTTGTAGAACATTTTAGTATCATTTCTGTTTATGAGGCAACTTTCCCTTATATTAATACAATTTATTTTAACACATACTTTCAATAAAGATTTAAATGAAAACAATTTTGTTTTTTAAATTAAACACATTATTTTAATATCCAGTCATTAAGAACTTATTTAGTGCGCAAAATAATAATAAAATCCAGGGAAAAATCCCTTACAATATCTATGATTGATCTACTACCATAAAATTTATTTAAAAAAAAAAAACTGTCATTCCCCATTGAAATTTGTCACTTGAAAAAAATTGCCGACATAAAAATCTAGGTTTTTGCTGACGTTAATTTTAACTAATAAAATTTTGTTATTGTTATTGAATTTTCTGAATAATTAACAAATAGTGCTAACTGATATGTAAAGTGTTAAAAACAACATTATAGTTATCTTTTAAAATCGTTACAAAACAATGAACTCTTGTTTTTTTTTTTTTTTGCTTTGTTTGTGACTGACAAAAGTTTTTTCCCAAAAAATACAGAAAAAAAAAACTTAGTAAGACCTTAAATGACAATATAATTTTGTTAAGAATTTGTTAAATAAATAAGTAGCATGTTTAAATATCATTTTAAACAATTCCACAACAACAATAAGAGAAATCCAACTCGTAACTAACATTAACTTTAAATACCAAATAATTAGCCCTCAAAATGAACAAATGAACTTGACCTTAGCGAGGAGAGGCTGGAAACAAAATTTCAGTGTGGGAATTATAATTAACAAATGAAAATGTTTAAAACTTTCCAAAATTTAAATTATCTGGGGATTTTTTACAACAACATTGGGAATTTAAAATATTTGCTTAAAATCTTTTAAAATTAATTAAATTTAGCTTTTGTATTGATTTTGTTATGAAAATTTGTGAATTCCCAAATTTAAGGTATTGGGGGATTTTTGAAATTTTTTTTGGGAATTTAATATATTTATTTAAATTCACTAAAAATTAAGTAAAATAACAGTTTTTGTTAATATTTTTAAGAAATTATGCTTAAATCCCTGAAAATTATAATGAGGGAATTTTTGCAAACATTTTAGGAATTCAAAAATTTTGCTTTAAATCATTTAATTGAAGTATTATAACATTTAAACTTAAAATATGTGAAATTTTACAATTCCCAGTTTTAAATTTAAGAGAAATTTTGAAAAATAAAAATTTGGGGATTATTAGAACATTTTTGGGAATAAATTATTGGCTAACATTTAAAAAAAGGATACATAATTACGCCATTTTACAGTTTAAACATAAATTTTTTTGTTTAAAATGTAAAAACCGTATTTTTAAGCTACTTAGCCTTTGATTTTGCAAAATTTAAAATTGGGGATTTGGAAAAAGTTTTTGGGAATCTACCTTTTTCCTTTAATATGTTCAAGAATGAAATTCTGAGTCTAGCTTGCCCTTGAAATTAAACTTTTAGGTAAAATTTTATAAAATTTATGGAAATTTAATTGGGGATTTTGAAAAAGTTCTTGGGAATTTACATTTTTGAGTAAACATTTTCAAAAATCACATTTTTAAACTAATTAACCTTGAAATTAAACTTTTAAGTAAAATCTTATAAAATTTATGGAAATTAAAAGTTGGGGATTTTGAAAAAGGTTTTGGGAATTTACATTTTTGAGTAGAAATGTTCAAAAATCACATTTTTAGTTTAATTTGTTCTCCAAATTAAACTTTTAAGAAAAATTTTTGTAAAATTTATGGAATTTAAAAATTGGGGATTTTGAAAAAGTTTTTGGGAATTAAAATTTTTTGTTAAAAATTTTCAAAAATCACATTTTGAATCTAACATGCCTTAAAAATTAAACTTTTAAGTAAAAATTTTTAAAATTTATGAAACTAAAAAATAGGGGATTTTGAAAAAGTTTTTGGGAATTTAAATATTTTGTTTAAAATGTTTAAAAAAAATATATATTCAAGCTATGTAGCCAGTGATTTTGCAGTTATTTGGGAAATTTTATGAAATTTAGACAAAATTTTAAATGGGGAATTTTGAAAAAGTTTTTGGGAATTTATATTTTTGAGTAAAAATGTTCAAAAATCACATTTTGAGTTAAATTTGTTCTCGAAATTTAACTTTTAAGTAAAATGTTATAAAATTTATGGAATTTAAAAATTTGGGGATTTTGAAAAAGTTTTTGGGAATTTTAATTTATTAAGTAAAAATTCTCAAAAATCACATTTTTAATCTAACTTGCCTTCGAAATTAAACTTTTAAGTAAAAATTTATAATATTTATGAAACTAAAAAATTGGGGATTTTGAAAAAGTTTTTGGGAATTTCCATTTTTGGGTAAAAATGTTCAAAATTCACACTTATAAACTAATTTGCTTTCGAAAGTAATCTTGTAAGTAAATTTTTATAAAATTTATGAACATAAAAAATTGGGGATTTTGAAAAAGTTTTTGGGAATTTCAAATTTTTTACTAAAATTATAAAAAATCTAATTTTTAATATAAATAGTGTGTGAATTTTCAGTTTCCGGTAAAATTTTAAGAAATTTAAATAAAATTTCAAATTGGGGATTTTGAAAAAGTTTTTGGGAATTCAAGTTTTTTGTTTAAAATGTTCAAAAATTAGATTCTGAGTCTATTTTGCCCTTAAAATAAAACTTTTAGGTAAAATTTTATAAAATTTATGGGGATTTGGGGATTTTTAAAAAATTTTTGGGAATTTAAATTTTTATGCTTAAATAAACAAAAACTTTTATTTAAACTAATTTTTAGCTATTAAGAGCAGTTTTGCTATAGTTCTTCTGCTTTTTCTACTTACTTTTGTAAAATGTTTAATATATTTTTAAAAATTTAAAAAAATTTTTAATATAATAAATTATTGTAGTTTTTATTAGTTTCTTTTCAAAAAATTCTTTCTTAACTTTAAACATTTTGATACATTTTTGTTGGTTTTTGTTTATTGTAATAAATTTCGTTTATAATTTCAACAATTTGTTACTGTTTACTTGGAACTTATAATTTAATTATAAATTTATGACAAATTTTATATAAATTATTTGATATATTTTTTTTTTTTTAATAAACTTAATAAGACAACTTATAAATTGTTCATTTTGCTACGGAACTTTAACAGAAATATATGTCATTTTGTTTTTTTTTTTAGGAAATAAATTAATATTTAATTAATTATTTATTTACAAAATATAAATTGTTTAAAAAAAATAGAAAATTAAGTACAATTTTTTTTTCAAATTTTAAGTTTAGTTTTTATATAAAAAATATATATAAATTTATGTTATTTCTTTGTTTTCTTTTTTTAATATAATAAGTTTAAAATGTTGTCTTTATTACAGTTTAAGTTTTGTTTTTTTGAACAAATTATTAACAAGAAATGTTTAGTTTGTAACTCAGGCACTTGTAGAGATAAAAAAACATAAATATTGAGTTAAAAGTTTTCGTTTACAAATTCTGTTTTCTTTTACCTCTTAACTTAAGAAAATTATAAATTATGGCTGTTTTTTTTTTAAATTTTGTTTTAGTTTTTTTTTACAGAAATTTTTCGTTTAAATTAAATGTTTATAACTTTTCCTTAACATAACTTAAGGCTTAATATTAAAACCGCCCTAAAGTATGCTAAAATTTCTTTCTTTCCCTTAAGTAACTTTACAAAAACTAAACATACCTAAAGAATAACTGTAAATTAAGCACATAATCCTTAACTCTAACTCTACTACACACTTGTCATAAGGACAATTTATCTAACAACATTTGCATTATCTCTAAATATCACGCCGTACGACAGGCATTTGCATACTCTACCGCATCGTGTAAAGTGGGGAATATTTCAAAGGGTCCATCACCCAAGGCCATACTATGCACTAAAGTATCATAAACCCTATCCGAGGGACTGGCTATAAACATACGTATACTACGTTTCTCCAATTCCTTCTTAATATCCGATATCAGTTTACAGCCGGCCACATCTATGTGACCCAACATAGAGAAATCTAGCACCAGGAAACGGAAGGATGAATTTAAATTACTAAAAGCACTGCCGCCATTGGTGGCCGGTAGAGAACCATTCTGCGCCAAAGGCATATAGGAAGCTCGGCGCATTTTTTCATTGTCCATGCCCAAGGCATTGTAGAGGTTTTTGCGGAAATAGAGAGAGGTAGCAAAGTTACAGGAACCTATATAACGGAAAATTTTAGTTTCGGGCACTTCGAAGGCATTGCGATGATGGCTAATGTCTACATAGACCGCTGAAGCTTCGGGTATGTAGCCCAGCAGGCAGGAATAGGGTTTCAAGCCCTTGATGTACAATGTCAGCAGGAAACGCAAATGCCAATTAAAAGACTGGAAGGGAAAAGAAAATTATTAAACTTATCACAAAAAATTATGTAGATTTCGCTAGCCTAGTCTAGTTATTAGTTGGTCTATAGATAGTCAAGTTAGTCTATCGGGTAGTATATGTCTAGTATAGTCTGGCTATAGTCTAGGTTCTGCTAGTCTATAGTCTTCGTTATAGTCTAGTATAGAGTCTAGTCTATTGCTAGTCTATAGTTAGTTATAGTCTAGTCTATATTTCTAGCGAGAGTCTAGTCTATAGTTGTCTTAGTCTTTCATATCAGTCAGTCTATAGTCTAGTTATAGTTAGTCTATAGTTTAGGGGTTGTAAGTCTAAATCTAGTCTATAGTCTAGTCTTAGTCTAGTCTATAGTCGAGTCTATAGTTAGTATATAGTATAGCTATTAGTCTAGTCTATAGTCTAGTCTATAGTCTAGTCTATAGTCTAGTCTATAGTCTAGTCTATAGTCTAGTCTATAGTCTAGTCTATAGTCTAGCCTATAGTCTAGTCTATAGTCTAGTCTATAGTCTAGTCTATAGTCTAGTCTATAGTCTAGTCTATAGTCTAGTCTATAGTCTAGTCTATAGTCTAGTCTATAGTCTAGTCTATAGTCTAGTCTATAGTCTAGTCTATAGTCTAGTCTATAGTCTAGTCTATAGTCTAGTCTATAGTCTAGTCTATAGTCTAGTCTATAGTCTAGTCTATAGTCTAGTCTATAGTCTAGTCTATAGTCTAGTCTATAGTCTAGTCTATAGTCTAGTCTATAGTCTAGTCTATAGTCTAGTCTATAGTCTAGTCTATAGTCTAGTCTATAGTCTAGTCGAGTCTATAGTCGAGTCTATAGTCTAGTATATAGTCTAGTCTATAGTCGAGACTATAGTTTAGTCTATAGTCTAGTCTATAGTCTAGTCTATAGTCTAGTCTATAGTCTAGTCTATAGTCTATTCTATATTCTAGTCTATAGTCTAGTCTATAGTCTAGTCTATAGTCTAGTCTATAGTCTAGTTATAGTCTAGTCTATAGTCTAGTCTATAGTCTAGTCTATAGTCTAGTCTATAGTCGAGTCTATAGTCTTGTCTATAGTCTAGTCTATAGTCTAGTCTATAGTCTAGTCTATAGTCTAGTCTATAGTCTAGTCTATAGTCTAGTCTATAGTCTAGTCTATAGTCTAGTCTATAGTCTAGTCTACAGTCTAGTCTATAGATTGGTCTATAGATTAGTCTATAGTCTAGTATCGTGTAGTCTATCTCTAGTATTTAGTCTATAGTCTAGTCTAGTCTATAGTCTAGTCTATAGTCTAGTCTATAGTCTAGTCTATAGTCTAGTCTATAGTCTAGTCTATAGTCTAGTCTATGTCTAGTCTATAGTCTAGTCTATAGCCTAGTCTATAGTCTAGTCTATAGTTTAGTCTATAGTCTAGTCTATAGTCTAGTCTATACTTGTCTATAGTCTAGTCTATAGTCTAGTCTATAGTCTAGTCTATAGTCTAGTCTATAATCCAGTCTATAGCTAGTCTATAGTCTAGTCTAGAGTTTAGTCTATAGTCTAGCCTTTAGTCTTGTCTATAGTCTATTCTATAGTCTAGTCTATAGTCTAGTCTATAGTCTAGTCTGTAGTCTAGTCTATAGTCTAGTCTGTAGTCTAGTCTATAGTCTAGTCTATAGTCTAGTCTATAGTCAAGTCTATAGTCTAGTCTATAGTCTAGTCTATAGTCTAGTCTATAGTCTAGTCTATAGTCTAGTCTATAGTGTAGTCTATAGTCTAGTCTATAGTCTAGTCTATAGTCTAGTCTATAGTCTAGTCTATAGTCTAGTCTATAGTCTAGTCTATAGTCTAGTCTATAGTCTAGTCTATAGTCTAGTCTATAGTCTAGTCTATAGTCTAGTCTATAGTCTAGTCTATAGTCGTCTTGCCTACTATATTATAGTCTAGTTTATAGTCCTAGTCTTTAGTCTAATAAAAATATTTGTGTTTTTAACTCACCCAATATCAATATCTATTAGAACCACACAGATAAAGGGCACAACAGGTTAATACCTCCAATTTGCCTTGTTTGGCAAATTTCTTTAACTCCTTGGCCTGCATAAACATGGGCTTCAAAGCCACCACAATGACACCAGCCAAAACGCACTAAAATCAAATTAAAGAAAACTTTAGAGGAAAACAAATTTCTATAATACCAAATACTAACCCTAGGCAAAAAGGCAAAGAAGGGCCCGGTCCAAAATAAAGTCATCAATATTAGTATGGCGGATACTAAAGAAGCCACTGGGATGCTCCTCCTGTTTGTTCTTGTATAAGGGACCTCGACAAAGAGGCAGCCATAGGTATACATTGGAAAAAGCCCCCCACTATATTGCCTATGCCCATGGCAAATAATTCTTGATTAGGACGGACTTCATAAGAATGTTTTTTGGCAAAATTTAAACCCAAAGACATGACAATGGAATAGGTGACGATGGCAATGGCTATAGAATCCACCACCAAAGAAGGAACCAAATCAAAACGAGGTAACACCGGCATAGGTAGAACCCTTGGGTACCTCACCCACTAGTTTGATGTCATAGTTTTCT